CATGGTTTGCTCTCAAGATAAAGATCAGAAGATCCCACACCTCCCAGGCTCAGCACTGCCCCCCACCCCCACCCAGCTTCCTGTCCCTCCTCTACTCTCCTCTTCCACTCCAGCTACATGGGCCTCTTTTCAGTCTCCAGAAGGTTCCATGGTGCTGTCTTCACATCAGATGGCCAAAGTATTGAACTTCAGCTTCAGCTTGGGCTTCCCTGGTCACTCAACTGGTAAAGAATCTGCCTGCAATGCGGGAGACCTGAGTTCCATTCCTGGGTTGGGAAGATCACCTGGAGAAGGGAATGGCTACCCACTCCAGTATTTTGTCCTGGAGAATTCCATGGATTGTATAGTCCATGGGGTCACAAAAAGTTGGAAACAATTGAGCAATTTTGACTTTCACTTTCTTTTAGCTTCAGCACCAATCATTCCAGTGAATATTCAGGACTGATTTATTTTAGGATTGACTGGTTTGATCTCCTTGCAGTCCAAGGGACTCTCAAGAGTCTTTTCCAATGCCACAGTTCAAAAGCATCAGTTCTTTGGCGCTCAACTTTCTTTATGGTGCAACTCTGACATCCATACATGACTACTGGAGAAGCCATAGCTTTGACTATATGAACCTTTGTCCAAAAAAGTGACATCTCTGCTTTTTTACATGCTGTCTTGGTTTGTCATAGATTTTCTTCCAAGGAGCAAGTGTCTTTTAATTTCATGGCTGCAGTCACCATCTGCAGTGATTTTGGAGCCCAAGAAAATAAAGTCTGTCACTATTTCCATTGTTTCCCCATCTATTTGCTACGCAGTGATGGGACTGGATACCATGATCTTTGTTCTTTGGATGTTGAGTTTTAAGCCAGATTTTTCACTCTCCTCTTTCACCTTAATTGCTTTCTGCCATGAGGGTGGTGCCATCTGCATATCTGAGATTATTGATATTTCTTCCTGCATCCTTGATTCCAGCTTGTGCTTCATCCAGCCCGGCATTTCACATGATGTACTCTGCATATAAGTTAAATAAGCAGGGTGATGATTTACAACCTGGACATACATACTCCTTTCCCAATTTGGAACCAGTAAATTGTTCCATGTCCTATTCTAACTGTTGCTTCTTGACCTGCATACAGATTTCTCAGGAGGCAGATAAGGTTGTCTGGTATGCCCATCATTAAGAATTTTCCAGTTTGTTGTGGTCCACACAGTCAAAGGATTTAGTGTAGTCAATGAAGCAGAAGTAGATGTTTTTCTGGAATTATCTTGCTTTTTCTATGATCCAACAGATGTTGGCAACTTGATCTCTGGTTCCTCTCCCTTTTCTAAATCCATTTTGAACATCTGGAAGTTCTCAGTTCACATACTGTTGAAGCCTAGCTGGAGAATTTTGAGCATTACTTTGCTAGTGTGTGAAATGAGTGCAATTGTGCAATAGTTTGAACATTCTTTGGCAATACCTTTCTTTGGGATTGGAATGAAAACTGACCTTTTCCAGTCTTGTGGCCATTGCTGAATTTTCCACATTTACTGGCATATTGAGTGCAGCACTTTCACAGCATCATCTTTTAGGATTTTAAATAGCTCAGCTGGAATTCCATCACCTCCACTAGCTTTGTTTATAGTGATGCTTCCTAAGGCCCACTTGACTGCACACTCCAGGATGTCTGGCTCTAGGTGAGTGATCACACCATTGTGGTTTTCTGGGTCATTATGATCTTTTTGTGTGTAGTTCTTCTGTGTATTCTTGTCACCTCTTCTTAATATCTTCTGCTTCTGTTAGATCCATACCATTTCTGTCCTTTATTATACCTATCTTTGCATGAAATGTTTCCTTGGTACCTCTAGTTTTCTTGAAGAGATCTCTAGTCTTTCCCATTCTTTGTATTCCTCTGTTTCTTTGCACTGAAGTAGGTAGCCTATCCCTTTTCCAGGAGATCTTCCCAACCCAGGAATCGAACCAGGGTCTCCTGCATTGCAGGCAGATTCTATACCAACTGAACTACCAGGGAAGTCCACTCACTCCTCAGACCCTGGGAAAAACCTCAGAAGACTATTTCTACTCTCCCTTGGTTTCTGCATCTTTGTAATAGGAGGACACATCCACTCAGGCCCTGGGTGGAACAACATCTGGCTAAGTCGGGATTGAATCCTGGCTCTGCTCTGTGACCTGGTGCAGATTACTTACCGTTGAGCCTTGGTTTTCTCAACTGTAAAACTGGGGAAATGATGCTTCAGAGAATTGTAAGGATGAAACATGTTCACAGGCAGAAAAATCTTATCTTGGTGCCTGACATGTAGGAAGCACTAATTAATAAAGGTAGGTGGTGACCAAGATTCCTTCCAGAGCTAGCCTTCTGTCATGTTGTTCTTGTTCAGTCGCTCAGTTGTGTCCAATTCTTTTCAACCCCATGGACTGCAGCATGCCAGTCTTCCCTGTCCTTCACCACCTCCTGGAGTTTGCTCAAACTCATGTCCATAAGTCAGTGATGCCATCCAACCATCTCACCCTTTGTCTTCTCCTCCTGCCTTCAATCTTTCCCAGCATCAGGATATTTTCTAAGGAGTTCTTCACATCATGTGGCCAAAGTATTGTAGCTTCAGCTTCGGCATCAATCCTTCCAGTGAATATTCAGGTTTGATTTCCTTTCAGATTGACTGATTTGATCTCCTTGCAGTTCAAGGGACTCTCAAGAGTCTTCTCCAGCACCACAGTTCAAAAGCATCAATCTTCAGCATTCAGCCTTATTTATGGTCCAACTCTCAGTCATGTAGGCTCAGCTTTTTCAGCATCTTGAGACCTCTATAAAGTCAGGTGTGTTGGTCCTTAAAGAGCTGTTCTCCTAGTCCTCTGTAGCTGGAAGAGGAGTTCTGTAGGGGTTGGGGACCACAGTCTGGACTTGGTTCACTTCACTGAGCACTGGAGGCAAGATGGGGTATCCTGGCCATCTGCCCTGGATGTCATCTGGCCATCCACCCCCGCACCGTGTGGAAAACATCCATGTCTGTCCAAGCCCAAAGAACTTCTCTCTCTAGCACAAAGGTTAGGAGCCCTAGTTCTGGAGTCAGACTTACCATTTAATTACAGTTTTGCATCAGTGGAATCATGATCAACTTAATTTACCTCTGAGCCTAGTTTTCTTGACTGTAAAATGGGAATGATTCTAGTATCTGCTTCAGAGGCCCAGAGAAGGTCATGTGAGACATTGGGTCCTGGGCCTAACACATTGCAGATGTGCAATAAATAATAATTCTTTTTTTTTTTTTTTTGGCTATACTGGGTTTTCATTGCTGCGTGCAGGCTTTCTCTACTTGTGGTAAGCTGGGGATACTCTCTAGTTACCACACTCCGGCTTCTCGTTGCTGTGGCTTCTCTTGTTGCACAGGCTCTAGGTGTGCAGGCTCAGTAGTTGTGGTGCACAGTGCCTAGTTGCCCTGTAGCATGTGGGATCTTCCCAGACCAGGGGTTGAACCCGTGTCCACTACATTGGCAGGTGGATTCTTAACCACTGGACCGCCACGGAAGTCCAATAGTAATTCTTCTAGAAATGCGGCCAGAGTTCCTTGCTGCAGGTGGCATCCTCTCCTTAACACCCCCCACCCCCCCTGAGCACAGGACCATAAACCTGGGCCTTTCACTGCAGTCCTTTCTGTGTCCACCCTTGCTCTCTGGGCCCGGCATGCCGCTGTGCCTCAGGCTATTGGCATCCTTGAACCCTCAGTGCCTGGAGCAAACTCCCTTAAAGGTCCTTGTCCACCACTGGACCCCACTCCTACAGTCTCGCCACCACCCCCAACCTCAACCCCATCCCGGCCCTACCCCTCCTCAGGGCTCTGGGTGTTGTGTCCTTGCCTGTGCTTCTGGGAGTCCACCCTGGAACACCCCACTCTCCCTCCCCTGTGCCTGGCTGGTCCCCAAGTCCCCTTTAGCACCAGCTCCGAGTTCCCCGCTTCTTCCCCCTGCCTTCCCCATAGCATCCATCTGCTCCTTCCTTCCTTCCTTCTTCTTTTAAAAAATTATTTATTTGGGACTTCCTGGCAGTCCAGTGGTTTAAGAATCTACCTGGCAATGCATGGGACATGTGTTCAATCCCTGATCCAGGAACTAAGACCCTACATGCTGAGTAAGCAACTAAGCCCTCGCACCACAACTAGAGAACCTGCATAACACAATGAAGATCCCACGTGCTGCAGGTAAGACCCGACATAGCTAAACAAACAAATGAATAAATATTTACTAACAGAGATCATTAGTTGCAGCATATGGGATCTAGTTCCCCCCACCAGGGATCAAACCCTGGACCCCCTGCATTGGGAGCACAGAGTTTTAGCCACTGAACCACCAGGAAGGTCTAATACTTCCTTCTTTACTTGCTTTGCAATCAAGACTCTCTTTATTTCCAGGAATAGAGACCAGTTCCAGTAAAGAGGCCTGTCTCTGAAGGACATACGTGGCATTAAAAAGGGTGGGGCAGTGCATGGACTCTTAGTATAAATCCTTACATGTTACCTTCCTGCAGAAAAGCTCCTGGTGACTTCCTTCAGCGCCCTGGAGATGAAGTCCATGCTCCTTGCCGAAGCCCCTCCAGGCCCACCTTTCCCCTCTGGTCTCCTGCCCCCGGGATGCTCTCCCATTCCTTGGATGCACTGGACATCTGCTCAGCCCCACACGGCACCCCACTCCGGTGTACTGAAATCAGCTTCATTTGAGCCCCTCCCGGCCATCGAGGCCTCCTCTGGTTTCAGAACAGATTCCCAGATTCCCCAAAGGAGCCTCCTTGGAAGTAGGACACTTCCTCTGGCCTGATCTGTGCTCTTCCTCTTTTTCTACCACTGTTGGGGGCCACTCTCTTGCTGGTGTCTGAGCAGACATTGCTGAAGCCCTCTTAGGTCTTCGGCCAGGGCTTCTGGTGTTTTTTGATTCCAGAGGCTTTCCTGCCCACTCATCCTACCACCATGGTGGTCACAGTCACAGTTCTCTTCTTTACCCCACCCCCTCTTTTTTTGTGCCACAGGCGATCCTCCTGGTTCACTGGCTGCTGACGACCTGGTGAGTGACTGTGGGTGTCCAGTTCTGTGTCCCCCTGGTCTCCCGAGATCTGGGTCCACATGTCTCTCTGGGGTCTTGTCCACATGTATCCTGGGTCCTGTCCACATGTCTTCCTGGGGCCTTGTCCATGTCTCCCGGCCCATTCTAAGACTAAATAGCTCCTATGTCCCAAGGATGTTGGAGGGGCAGGTGGTACCCAGAGGCCTTTACCATTACTGACCCTAGGAGCTTCAAGCCCTCATCCTCAAGAAGACAGCAGCCCGGGGGGCAGAACTGACAGCTCAGACCTTCCTCCAGACACTGCCCAAGCCCTTTGGGGCTTGGCATCCCCTCTGGTTCCTCCCCCAGGGCCTTTGCATCTGGGGCTGTGAGGTGCTGAAGCCTAGAGGCTGGCCTCTCATACCTTGCTGGGGTGGATGTCCAGTGGAGCTCTATGTGTCTGTGACCTTGGGTGAGCCACTCAAACCCCCTGAGTCATTTTCTCACCTATAATGTGACAGTATTACTGACCCTCCCACTTATCCTGTTAAGTCATCTGAAGGTGAAAACACAATTTCTGAAACCATAATAATTGCTGACCTTTATTGAGGGTGCCTTCTGGAGGCTAACTCAGCAGCTCAGCAAATAAGACATATGATGAACCTGAGTTCAAGGGTGAGGGCACTCACTTAGGGGTGGACCCTCATTCTCATTTCATACCCCCTGCCCAGAGACAGCAGACTCAGGATTTCGACTGACCCTGGTCATGTCCTTAGCCCTGCCACGTTCCAGCCGGGTCACCTTGATCAAGTGACTTCGCTTCTCAGTACCTTGGATTCCATCTGTAAAATGGGTGCAAGGATGCACAGCCCTCAGGAGCTGTGAGGGAGAAGCATGGCCTTGCTCTGCTCACCAGACATTGCCCAGGGGCCTGCACAAGGGAGGCCTGGGGACCGCAGGGTGATTTTCAGCATTACCTTCTGCTTTATCGGTTGAGTTTCTGGGGAGATTTTTCTGCCTGACCAAGACTGGAAACCATTGAGCTCACGTGTGCATTTTGCAGACGTGAAAGTGCAGTGCATGTGTTCATGGGTGTGAATAACGGGAGCAGTGATCATCATGGTTATGGCCTTGGGGAGCAGAGTGAAAATCCAGATTTCTCAGGCACACTCCCTGAGACTCTGAGTTAATGAGTCCAGGCTGGGCCCCCAGCACTTGCTTTCTCAAAACCAAAAAATGAGATGACTAATTCCAAGTAAGCCCCACGGTGCTCTGCACTTAACTGCTTTGCACATGTTTTCCACATGGTACACTTCAGGGAATGTCATTTACATTTATGAAGCACCCCACTGTGTGCTTGGGCCATCCAGGTGGGTAAGAGCATGGCCTCTTGAGCCAGACTGCCTGGGTTTAAATCCCAGCTCAGCCACTTAGCAGCTGTGTGACCTTGGGCAAGTTCCTTGACTTCTCTGGGCCTCAGTCTCCTCTTCTGTAAAATGAAGATGACCGTAGTGCCTCTTTACAAGGGTTGTTAATGCATATGCACATAAATGAACCCATTTAAAGCACTCATAACTGTGCCAGATACTAGTAAGAGCTCTGGGTTAACTATTCTTTTCTTTGAGTTGACAAACAGTTTAGTTAGTAGCGATGCCCTACAAAATAAAAGAGAGTGGGTGTTGTGTTAGAAGGTGGTCCTTACAGTGGGGCAGTCAGGGAAGGAGTCTCAGAATTAACATATGAGCTGAGCCTAAAATGACAAGAAGAGACCAAATGTTCAGGTAGAAGGAACAGCAAGGCAATGGATGGGAGGTATAGGCTGGGCTGTGTCATCAGACCCCACAGGGCCCTGTAGACCATGGTCAAGAGTCTGAATTTTATTCCAAGAAAGTGTTGGAGGACTTTTAGCAGAGAAATGACATCTCCTGATTTACCTTAATGGTTGCTGTTCATGGAGGAGTTAATAAGTGTCACTAGTGGTAAAGAATTTGCCTGCCAATGCAGGAGATGTAAGAGACACAGGTTCGATCCCTGGGTCTGGAAGATCCCCTGGAGGGGGGCATGGCAACCCGCTCCACTATTCTTGCCTGGAGAATCCCATGGACAGAGGACCCTGGCGGGCTACTGTCCACAGGATCGCAGAGTCAGGAACAACTGAAGTGACTTAGTACGCATGCAAGCACATTTATGGGATGGCCAGGATGGGGCAGGAATGGAAGTTAGGGGACCAATGGGGAGAGGCTACAGCGAAATGATCAATCCCAGTAGGAGAGGATGGTGGTTTGGACCTGAAGGGATATGGCCAGATTCCGGATCTGTTTGGGAAGCAGAGCCGATGGGACGTGCTGACATTTTTGGCACATGGGTGGGAAGTAGGGGAGTGGAGAGGGGAATGAGGCCAAACTGTGGCCTCTGCTCGTGGGACCCCTGAGACCTGGAGCCCCAGGAGGTGACCTGTGGGAGGGGTGGGCACCTAGGGGGCACCTCTTGACTTGACTCAGGCACCTCCTCCCGCAGGGGCTGCATCGTGTTCCAGGGCGCCTATCCCTGGACCAACTTCCCCATCCTGGCCTTGGGTGTGTGGGCTGTGGCGCAGCGGGACTCTGTTGACGCCATAAGTATGGTGAGCTGGGGGAGCAGCCAGGGAACTGGCTTCAGGGTGGTCGTGGGCCCAGCTCCGTCTTCCCCTTCACCTGTCCTGTCTTCTCTGCCTTCTTCTTCCCCCATTTTCCATTTTCTAGAGTCCAGGTTCCCAGCCCACATGTATCTTAACTAGCCTGGCCTGCTGCTCTGCCTGCCCGGCTCAGAGTCTCCTCATTTTTTTCCCCAAAAGGGGCATGGGGTGGACTCCCACCAATGCCCCACGAGATTGGCCGCTCCTGGAGGGCAGTAGGGCATGCACCAGTAACCCTGCTTAAGGGTCCCCCTAATAGGGAGGGGCCCCCATGAAGAGGGAGCTCCACCACTTTGTGAAGTCAGAGTGGACACAGTTTGGCTAAACTGTCCCACTGGCAGTCCTCAGACACCTGCTCAGACGCCATGGCTGTGAGTGCCAGCGTGGGCCTCTCAGGATGGTTAGGGACGGATTTCTTCAGTGGTGGAGATGGAGCCAGTGAATTCCAAAGGACCTTCCATCTGGAAGATTCTGAGCCCACGTCTTGTGCCTCATCATAGCCTCAAGGATGAGAAGAGTTGGGGGAGAGGGCTCTGTTAGAGCCGGAGGGTTGGATCCAGACAGGGACCCCAACCCTGCTCTCAGCCCTGCAGTTCCCAGTCGGGCATCTAGTCTGCAGAGTCCCACCTGCTGTCTTGGTCTGTCTTCCGGCAAACCCCAAGGACACAGTAGGGCACAAATGGAGCTTCCAGTCTGGTATATATGGTGGGGGGTTTGGTGACAGGGCAGCAGCGCGCTCATCAACACTAATGACACCGTGGTCACCCCTCGGCCCTGTGCCTGGCTGTCTTGCAGTTTCTGGGTGGCTTGGTGGCTACCATCTTCCTGGACATTATCTACCTTGGCATCTTCTACCCGAGGTCCAGCCTCTCGGACACGGTGCGCTTCAGCGCAGGCATGGCCATCCTCAACCTGATCCTCAAGCCGATCTCCTGCTTCTTCGTCTACCAAATGTACCGAGAGCGTGGGGGTGAGCTCTTGGTCCACGTTGGTGAGACCACCACCTGCAGCCAGCTCCCCAATTCCCCTCCCACCAGCCCAGGTGCTGGCACTGCTGTCTTCTCCTCTCTCCTCGGTCTCTGCCTTGCCCGCCCCCCAGCCCCTGCCCCAGGGAGCCAACCTTGCCCCCTGAGACAGGGATTCAAGGTGCAGGGTGGGGCCTGGTGTGGGCTCTGGGCACCAGGCTGGAAGGTGTGCAAGTTTCTGGTTTCCTAGAAGAACCCAGGGGTCCCCCAGCCATCCCTGCCTGGTATGACCTTTCCCTGGCACCAGGCTATGATGCCATGTCCTTTTCTCAGCTTAAACATGGGTGCGACTGGGGGCCTGATCCAAGGCCCCAGGCAGCTCTGGGCAGCCTGCAGGCCAAGGCCCATAGGCACCTGCAGGGCCAGCTTCCCCTCTCAGCTCCCTCTAGTCCCATCGCTGGAACCCCCTTTCCTGCCACCTATGGGGTCTGGGTGACCAGGGGAGAGTCAGTGCTGGCCTCGGTCCTGGGAGCCCTGGCTAAAGCCAGCCCTGAGCTGCACATGCCTTTCCTTAGCCCGGCCCCACCCGTCCCCTCCCACAGCCTCTCTGAGCTGAACCCCTGCTTGTTGCAGCCCTTCCCCAGCCCCCTGTGACACCTGTTCTCATGTCCTTTCTCTCTCAGAGAAGTGGGGAGAGGTGTGGTCTTCTGCCTTTCACTCTTAAAGAGTGGCCTGAGACCTGCTGGGGGAGCAGCTGGGTTGAGGCTGGGAATGGCCCAGGGCTGCCCACCCTTGGCAAACCGCCAGGCTCCCGGACCTGCCCTGGGGTGGGGAAGAGCCAGTGCGGTCCCTTCATTAGACAGACGAAGATACAGAGGCCTGGGGCGCTGGGGGCTTGTTCAGGAGCACAGGACAGATGTGGGGAGTGAGGACAGGAGTGAGGAGTATGGCACCCAGAACCCAACAGCCAGCCTGGCATCATCTGGGCTCTGCAGCTGCGCCAGCCCCGGGGGCCTTCTGGATGCTGTACAACAATGTCCATTATCTGGGAGAGGAGCTGGAGGGGAGCCCATGGGTCCAGGGCTGGGCATCCCTCGGCCAGATTCCTGAGCACGTGCTCCCAGGGAAGGACTGAGGCATAGTGACTGAAAGCCCTGTCTTTGGGGTCGTGCGGCATAGGTTTGAACCCTAGTGTCCTCTATTTCAAGCTTTATAATCTTAAGCAAGTCAGTTTATCTTTTTAACACTCGGTTTCCTCATCTGTAAAGTAGGGACAAAAAAAAATACCCTGCTCTGTAGGGTTACAGGAGGATTTAATAAATGATACATGCTAAAGGCTTGGTGCCTGGGGCTGCTGCCACTGGGTGCCCGGATGCCCAGCTCTGGCTTTTCTTGATGGGGTGAGATGGGTGGTGGAGAGTAGGGGGATCTTGGTTTGGCCTCGTGGAATGTCCTAAGTCCTCACCCTTCATTTTTTTCTTTCCTTCCATCTCCCTCCAACCCCCAGGTTCCCTTGGGCCCTCAGAGGAGCGCAGTTCGTACCAGCCGATCGACTCCTCAGAGGTGCCCGCTGACCTGGAGAGCAAGGCTCACGTGACCCGAGGATACTGAAGCCCAGCCCAGGGGCCAGTCTGACGAACTGTGGGGCCAGCAGAGAGGAGGCCTCATCACCTTCTTTGTGCCTTGGACGTCATCCTAGGGGGTGCTCCTGACTGCCCCCTGCTTTCTCAGAACTAACTTCTGTCCTCCAGTTCCCCATCTCAGGGGCTGCCTGAGTCAAGTGCCCTAAGAGGCCCAGAGCCCCTGTGCACACCTGTCCCCAATTCCTCGAGGCCTCTCCTCCCTTCTGGGTAGCCCACTGGTCCCAGGCTGGGAACTCTGGTTGCTTTTGTCCCCTCCACCCTTAGCTGCTCCGTGCAGGCCCCAGGCCGAGCCGTGCCCAAGCCTGGCAGGATCAGGCCTCTGGGGGCCACTGGTGCCCCCCCACCTCGGCCTCTCCTGAGGTTGGCCATGCCCTCCCACAGGAGCTCCGAGAGCCTCGGGTCTTGCTCACTACCAGGAGTACAGGGGTGAGGACCCCTGGCTTCTCACTACCTGGTCACTTGGTGCCTGGGGACCCCAGGGCTGGAGGGAGGAGGGGTCTGCAGCCCCTCAGACCCCCATCAGCCTCCGGCTGCGGCTACAGCATTAAAGTTCAGGGAATTCTGCAGCCAAGTGTGTTTGAGCCGTGTTTCCTCTCCTGTCAGAGCTGGGGCCTGGACTTGCCATTCCCAGGAAGATTTCTCCTATGAATCTCCAGGGTGCCAGGGCTTAGGTGCCTGTTTTCTTGTGACAGAAGGAAACGGGGCTTGTGACCAGCTGGGCCTGTGGGTGCTCAGCTCCGGCCTAGCCGAGGCCCCAGGAGAGAAAGGTACTGCCAATGTGTCAAACAGGCATCCATGTCTCTGAATTAAGTGACTCAGGTATTGGTTTGAGTCCTGCTCTGCCACTGACTGTGTGCCCTTGGGCATCTCAACCTTTGGACCTCATGTCTGCTGGAAGAGGGCTGATAACTGCCCAGAGAGAGAGAGACGACACAGGTGAAATGTACAGTGCCTGACCCTCAGGAGGGCTCCCTAAATGACAGCAAAGTTTTTGGTGGGGCTGCTCCCTAAGCCTATGCTGATGTTGGTCAATAGTCCAGGGGTGGCCTCCCCCTGGCAGACCCGGTGTCTTGGACTCAGAGTAAACTGAGACACCTGTCCAAAGTTCCAGAGGTTTCATGGCCAGGACCCTACCCCACCCCCATTGGGATGGGTATTGACCACCAGGCCCCAGGCATCTGGGCTTTGTCAGGCCATCCTGGCTTGCTTGTCCCTGGCACAGAGATGTCAAGGCCGGGTGCACAGCCCCCACCACCCCATTCTTCCGTATCCATCCATCCAAAGAGGCTGAGTGCCTGCCAGTGCTGGGCATGGGCCTGGGGCTACAGGGCTGAACTCAGGTCCTGCCCTCAGGGTAACAGACACTGGGAGTCCTGTCAGGAGGCCTGAGCCCTGAAAAAAGGAACATGGGCCTCCAAGGAAGGGACTCATGTTCTGGGGCCGAGGAATGCAGAGCAGCTGCAGCTGCAGCAAACCAGAAACAGTCTCATAGTCAGACGAAGACAGACAAATAAGCCATGGTTCATTCATTCTAAGGAGTACTGTTAAGCAGTTCAGATGAATAAACCAGACCCATTTCTATCAATGACTCAGTCCCTCCAAATATCGATTGCAGAATGGCACATGCAACATGAGAGCATTAGTGTGAATTTTAAAAGCTCATAGAAATACTTTGTATTGTTCATGGGTGTGTATGTGGTAAGACATAAAAGCATTGACTAGAAGGACCTGTGCAGCCACAGCTCCCTTTTGGCTGCAACCAGTGCAGCCAAAAAATTTTTTTAAAAAAGGAGGGGGGCAGAGAATTGGAAACGCTCTCCCACCCAGGGCCACAATCATGACAAAATAGTCGGACATGACAGCATAAACAACAACAGGTGGTTGTAGAAGTTCTAGTAGGGTAGATAGGAAAACCTAGGAAATGTTGGGAGACCACTGTAAGTTAATGATCACTCAAGAAAGCTATTGGAAGGTAGTGAAATTACAGCCTTGCTAAACTATAAAGTCATAAATAAAGGCACGAGATATGCCCCAAGCCATTGTGTGTGTGTGTGTGGTAAGTTGCTTCAGTCGTGTCTGACTCTTTGTGACCCCATGGACTGTAACCCACCAGGCTCCTCTGTCCATGGGGTTCTCCAGGCAAGAATACTGGAGTGGGTTGCCGTGCCCTCCTCCAGGGATCTTCCCTGACCCAGGGATCAAACCCATGTCTTTTATTTCTCCTGCATTGGCAGGCAGGTTCTTTACCACTAGCATCACCTGGGAAGCCCCAAGGCCATTAGGTGAAAGAAAAATGTCACCACTCTTCTTTTGATATAATAATCTTGAGAGATTAAGAAGAGATGGCAAGAATACACAGAAGAAATGTACAAAAAAAAAAAGTCTTAATGACCTGGATAACTATGATGGTGTGGCCAATCGCCTAGAGCCAGACATCCTGGAGTATGAAGTCAAGTGGGCCTTATGAAGCATCACTACAAACAAAGCTATTGGAGGTGATGGAATTCCAGCTGAGCTATTTAAAATCCTAAAAGATGATGCTGTGAAAGTGCTGCACTCAATATGCCAGCAAATGTGGAAAACTCAGCAATGGCCACAGGACTGCAAAAGGTCAGTTTTCATTTCAATCCCAATCAAGGGCAATGCTAAAGAATATTCAAACTACCACACAATTGCACTCATTTCACATGATAGCAAGTGCTCAAAATCCTTCAAGCTAGCCTTCAACAGTATGTGAACTGAGAATTTCCAGATGTTCAAAATGGATTTAGAAAAGGCAGAGGAAGCAGAGATCAAATTGCCAACATCCATTGGATCACAGAAAAAGCAAGAGAATTTCAGAAAAACATCTGCTTTGTTGACTACGCTGAAGCCTTTGTGTGGATCACAATAAACTGTGGAAAATTCTTCAAGAGATGGGAATATCAAGCCACCTGCCTCCTGCAAAACCTGTATGCAGGTCAAGAAGCAACAGCTAGAACCAGACATGGAACAATGGACTGGTTTGAAATTGGGAAAGGAGTACATCAAGGTTCTATACTGTCACTCCACTTATTTAACTTATATGCAAAATGCCTGGCTGAATGAAGCACAAGCTGGAATGAAGACTACCAAGAGAAATATCAACAACCTCAGATATGCAGATGATGATACTATAATGGCAGAAAATGAAGAGGAACTAAAGAGTCTGTTAATGAAGATGAAAGAGGAGAGTGAAAAAGCTGGTTTAAAACTGAACATTCAAAAACTTAAGATCATGGCATCCAGTCTCATCACTTCATGGCCAATAGATGGGGAAAAAATGGAAACAGTGGCAGATTTTATTTTCTTGGGCTCCAAAATCACTGCAGCCATGAAATTAAAAGATGCTTGCTTTTGGAAGAAAAGCTATGACAAACCTAGACAGCTTATTAAAAAGCAGAGACATCACTCTGCCACCAAAGGTCTGTATAGTCAAAGCTATGCTTTTCCCAGTAGTCATGTACAGATGTGAGAGTTGGACCATAAAGAAGGCTGAGTGCCTAAGAATTGATGCTTTTGAACTGTGGTTGAGAAGACTCTTGAGAATCCCTTGGACAGCAAGGAGATCAAACCAGTCAATCCTGAAGGAAATAAACCCTGAATATTCATAAAGACTGATGCTGAAGCTCCAATACTTTGGCCACCTGATGCAAAGACCTGACTCACTGGAAAAGATTCTGATACTGGGAAAGATTAAAGGTAGGAGGAGAAGGGGATGACAGAGGATGAGATGGTTAGATAGCATCAGAGACTCAATGGATGTGAATTTGAACAAACTCTGGGAAATAGTGAAGGCCAGGGAAGTCTGGCCTGCTGCAATCAGTGGGGTCAAAAAGAGTCAGACACAACTTAACAACTGAACAAAAAGAACAATCCCTAGTTTGACCTCAGGTCAGACACTCTCCTGACTGATAGGAAGGAGAAGCTCATGATGTAAGCCTCACATCTTCTGGAAGAAGGTAGTCTTTTCCCCTCCCCTTTTCCTTTGACAATAAAATTGTAGTCTACTTAATCCTGGGGCAGAGCTCCCTCACCTGCCCACCTGCATCTCTTACAAGCATCCTATGTTAATAAATCTGCTTCTTGCCTATCACTTTGCCTCTTGCTGAATTCCTTCTGTGCCGAGAGACAAAGAACCTGAGCTTCATTAAGTCCTGAAACCAAGTGTGTGATCTTAGTTGGAAGACTGTGGATTTTGGCTGGGTTCAAGTCCCAATCTGAGGTGAATGGTTTCATGCCCACAGCAACTTGGTATTGGAGGCACCAAGGAAAACATCAGGCACTCAAGCACTGATGGACAGTGCTGGGCTCATGCTGAGAAGAAACTGCATGAACAGCATCAGTAGTGGTCATCACTTTGCCAATAAAGGTCTGTATAGTCAAAGCTATGGTTTTTCCAGTAGTCATGTATGAATGTGAAAGTTGGACCGTGAAGAAGACTGAGCACCAAAGAACTGAGGCTTTCGAACTGCAGTGCTGGAGAAGACTCTTGAGAGTCACTCAAGTCCAAGTCAATCCTGAAAGAAATCAGTCAATCCTAAAAGAAATCAGTCCTGAACACTCACTGGAAGGACTGATGCTGAAGCTGAAGCTCCAATACTTTGGTCACCTGATGTGAAGAGATGACTCATTGGAAAAGACCCTGATGCTGGGAAAGGCTGTGAAGGCAGGAGAAGAAGGGGATAACAGAGGACAAGATGGTTGGGTGGCATCACCAACTCAACGGACATGAATTTGAGTGAACTTCAGGAGATAGTGGAGGACAGAGAAGCTGACATGCTGCAGTCCATAGGGTCACAAAGAGTCGGACATGACTGAGTGAATAACAAGTGGTGTTGGTCCCCTGGGACCAGCAGGCATCTCCCAGCAGCTGATGGGCAGTTTGCTTGCTGAGCCATCTCATTGCACAGTGGAAGCACCTTATCCCCTCTTGGAAGAGGACAGTGG